TAAATAAATAAATAAATTACTTTTTAAAGTAAACTCTCTGCCCAATGTGGGGCTCGAACTCATGTCCCCAAGATCAAGAGTCACATGCTCCACCAACTGAGCCAGCCAGGTGCCCTGCCAAAAATGTATTTAAATATAAGCATCACATTCAGCTGGTCATGCGTACATGAGGAGAGGCTTGTGGGAGCTGAGACCTTTGAAGAGCAGCAGATGAGCTTTACCATATCACATTTTCTCTAGGATATGTGCTCTAGTAAAAGGAGGTGGTTGTGTGTGCTTGGAATACCTTGTGCTATTTAAATATTTTTCATTTCCTTTCTTTTTTTCTAAGTTGGATAGTTTAAAACACAAAAGTTAAATTATTTTTATGGTACAACTCAACAATTTTTTTTTTTTTAAAGATTTTATTTATTTATTTGACAGAGAAAGACACAGCGAGAGAGGGAACACAAGCAGGGGGAGTGGGAGAGGGAGAAGCAGGCTTCCAGCTGAGCAGGGAGCCCGATGCGGGGCTCAATCCCAGGACCCTGGGATTATGACCTGGGCCGAAGGCAGACGCTTAACGACTGAGCCACCCAGGCGCCCCTGAGCCACCCAGGCGCCCCAACTCAACAAATTTTTTTAAGATTTTATTTTTAAATAATCTCTATACCCATCATTGGGCTTGAACTCATCATCCCGAGATCAAGAGTTGCATGCTTCACCAACTGAGTCAGCCAGGCACCCCTCAGCAGACAAATTTAAAGGGTTTTGAGTTATCCTTTATAAAATAGATTTTATCTTTAGGAGTAGTTCCAAATTTTCTTTACTTTCCTCTTCAGTGAAGCAGCACGATCTCTCAAAGGAGAGTTGTTTGACAGTGTATTAGTTCTAGTAGAGAAAACAGTAACTTGAATAAGAATTTCAACAGAGGAGATTTAATATAGGGAGTTGGTTAAATGGTTGTAAGAGCAAAAAGACAACATTACAGTGTAATCGACCTAAGAGCTCAGAAAAGAGATTCCATTGGCCTGGTCCTGAACCTTTGAGGAGGTCATCGTTCAGCTGCTGATCAGGTTCTGGAAGTACCCAAAAGTACCCAGAGAAGCTAGAGACTGAAACCTGTTGTTGCTGCCGGGGTGAGGGGCTGCAGTTGCTGCTGCCAGGAACTGGAAGGAAGTCCTTTCACCCCTCTTTCTGATTTCCAGTTTTCCTTTTACTACCTCTACTGTCAAAGCCTAACAGGGAGAGTGGCAGAAGAGTCAGTGAAATACAATTGTGCAGTCTGAGCCCCAGCACCAAAGAGCAGAATCTAGAATGGTGGTTTTGGAGTTGAGAGACAATGAGTCAGTGATCTGCACAAAATGGTGTAGGTTAAAGTACAATAATTTAAATAGGGAATCTTGTCCTTACCTTGCCTGTTAAAAAACAAGTGTTGATTATCTTCTGTGTGCCAGACCCTATGCGAGGGATTAGGGATAGAAAATGAATTGAACAAGGTCTCTGTCC